TATTATCAATAAAAATTAAAAAGATTTATTTTTAATTATATATACAAGTGTGTATCTGTGTGTATGTATATGTGTGAGTGCAGGTACTGTTAGTGTCCAGACGAGAGCATCTGATCCCCTGAAACTAGAGTCATGGGTAGTTGTGAGCCACCTGTTGTACCTACTGGGAATCAAATCTTGGTCCTCTTGAAGATTAGTCCATACTCTATAATCACTAAATCCCCTCATTGAGTTCTGAACATTTATTGAGTGTCACTTAAGCCAGGTACTACCCTATGTACTTGTGAAGTATCCATGGCCAACAAAGAGACAAAATTCTTTTTCTGGTATGATTTTATATTCTTAGAGTTGGTAAGAGGGAGTAGAACGTAGTCAATCACTTTGTATGTAAGATTCTCTCTCCAAAACTCTGCTCAGTTTATCTTCATTTCTCCTCCAGTTTCTTGCCTTTTGTGGTCTTGCTGTATTGCCATGACTATCAGCTTTGTATCCACATTGATGTGTCATGTGTTCTAACTGCTTACATGGCCATATCACCTTGATGTCTATGAACATCTCAACATATTCTAAAATGACCTGGTAATTCCTCAAATCATTTTACCCAGTCCACCTCATTCCATTTGACTGATGTCCATTTCATTGATGATGGTAAACGCTGATTGTCAACTTTACAGGATCTAGAACTGCCTAGGAGCCAAAACTCTTGGCATGTCTGTGAGTGGAGCTTCTAGATTACATTAAGTGTGGTGGAAAGATCTCCTTAATTGTTAGCATCACCAGTCCATGAACCGAGGTCCCAGACTGAATAAAAAGGAGAAGTGAGCTGGGCACCAATATTTATCTCTTTCTGCTTCCTCACTTTGAATGCAATGTGTCCAGCTCTGCCTTTGTTGCTATGCATTCCTGGTTGGCTGTGTTGGATTACACTCTCCAACCATGAGCACGGTAAAGCCTTTCTTCCTTAGGTCGCGTTTGTTGCGTACTTTGTCCCAACCATGTCAAGAGTGACTAGTGCACTGAGCTATAATTACTCACAGATTTCTGATGAACACTCTGGGTGCTGTTTTTATTTTTATTTTGTATTTTCTCCAGAAGACCCTTCCAACAAATACATACCGGTGAATCTTTCACTGTTTGAAGCCATTTCATATTTTTTTCTTCCAATAAAGTTCCTTTTGTCTGTACAGTGAAACTTCACAGTTGCAGATGTATGGCATGATTTATTTATCTATTAAAATATTTTTTTTGGAAGCAGGTTTCTAAGCAGTCTAGGATAGCTTCACACTGTTACATCACACTATGTGGCTCAGGATGGCTTTGAACTCATCCTCCTGCCTCCTCCTGAGAGTTGGGATTATAGGTGTGTACCACCATGCCTGGTTTTATGAAATTCTGGGGTTCAAACCCAGGGTATCATGCATGCTAGTCTAGCACTCTACCAACTCAGCTAGCTACGTTTCTAGCACTATAGCATTGTTTAACAAGACAATGAGGATGTTCTATCGGGAACTCACCAAGGCCAGCTGGCCTGGGTCTGAAAAAGCCTGGGTTAAAACAGGTCTCACTGAACATAGCGGACAATGAGGACTACTGAGACCTCAAGAACAATGGCAATGGGTTTTTGATCCTACTGCACGTATTGGCTTTGTGGGAGCCTAGGCAGTTTGGATGCTCACCTTACTAGACCTGGATGGAGGAGGGTGGTCCTTGGACTTCCCACAGGGCAGAGAACCCTGATTGCTCTTTGGGCTGACGAGGGAGGGGGACTTGATTGGGGGAGGGGGAGGGGAAGGAGAGGCGGAGGTGGGGAAGAGACAGAAATCTTTAATAAATTAAAAAAAAACTCTGTAAAAAGCAGAGTCAAAAATTAAAGATTAAAGATTAATAATGCAGATCAAGGATATAAAATATTGTGGAGTTTTTGAAGGGCTGAGGAAAGTCACTGGGTCTGATCAGTATAAAATCCTTAATAATTTTTCCAGATGGGTGTCAGTAGGGAGCTGTGGATAGCATCCAGATTATAGTTAACTGAGGCAAACAAAATCAGCCCTATCAATGATCAACCAAGGAGGTTACATCTGTACTACTTGTCATTGACATATTCTGGGAGCGGGAAATCATTGTCTTTAGTTGTTACCCTCTGCTGAGCCCACCAGGCTCCCAGGGAAGAGCACCGATCTCAGGGTCACACAGATGGCTGTAGTCCATCTCAGCGTCACAACATAAAGTGAATGGACATAAATATGCAAGAGAGATTTGTGGAAAGGGTGGGCAGGTGTAGTAGGGGGTTGGAGGGAACAAGAGCAGTCAATGTGCAAAATTATAAAACTTTAAAAAAGGCCTGGGTCCCAAATGAAGCAAATACAGTGATTGTTCTAGGCCAATGTTAAGCAGTGAAAACGGGGACAAACAGGCTTGTTAAGAACATGCTATCAGATTTCAAGGGTCAAGGTTCTATTTTTCCTTCCTTTCCTTTTTAAAAATGGTGATGATATTTATAGACTAGAAGGAAAGACTCTGAGTCTAGAGAGGTTAAGGTTTTGATGGAGTAATACTTTAGATGCTAATAAAGTAAGAGAAAGGAAACCTTCAGACAGAAAGATTAAGGTCGATAAAACACTGTTCAGGAGAAGTCAGGAAGCCATAGGGTGAAAGCCAAGGGCAGAGGATTAACCCTGCTCTGGAGAGGGACCTTTGTTTTCTGAGAAGGGAGGAAAGGAGGAGGTTAAAGGAAATGATGTTTAGCCTTGATTTCTTCGAAGTGAGGTCATCTGTTGAGACTAAAGATAGCACCAGCATGCTCTGGGGGACATAGCACATAGGAAATGTTCTCCAGGATTCTTTGAGGCTGTTTGATAATAAGCTAATTAGGGATGATTAGAAGATGATTTAGCAAAAATCAAGAGATGAGCTGAAATCATATTAATTTATGGAAAAGACATTTAAACTGAAAGGTCATCTGAAATTTGTCTCTATTTTGGTCCAATTAGCAGCATTGCTGGTCTGGTCTTTTAGATGCCAAGCTCTAAGGTAGAACTAGGAAAGCCCGAAGATTCTCAGGAGAGTGGGCTCAAGATGAACATCCTGGAGTAAAGAGAATGATGCCGGGCACAGCAGAAAAACCATGTTAGCTGCTAATCTTGTCAAATGCCAGGGGGAAGGCTACAAGCTTGACTGATTTGTCCTGTACTGATGTGAGGTTCCAGACTGTTAAGATGCTGTCTTAATTCTTCATTAATGCAGGTGACTTCTGGTGAGATCGTAGGAGAAGGTAACATTGACTTAGGAGGCTTTTTTCAGCCAAAGTCAGTTTCTGGAAAGTTCTACTGGTGGATAGTTAGCTGGTGACATCAGGACAGTGGGAGAGACAGGTCTACGGTCTTGAGGGGATGGGGTTCGATGCTTAGCACCATGCCCTCCTTGTGCTACTCAAATATGCTTTAAGCTGTGCCTTCTTCTCCTCTTCTTCTTTTTATATATTTTCCTCTAAACATTTCTTTTTTTATTTAATTTTTTTTTCATTTTACATATCAGTCCCAGTTCCCCCTCCTTCCCCTTCTCTTGCCCTCCTCTTCCCACCTTCCCACCTCTCATCCTCTCCTTAGAGGGGGTAAGGTCTCCCTTAAGAAGTCAACAAAATCTGGTATACCAAATATACCAAGATCCTTCCCCCGTATCAAGGCTGAGCAAGGTATCCCACCTTTGGGAATGGGTTCCACAAAGCCAGTTCATGCACCTAGGGTCCAACTGCCAGGCCTGTGCCCAACAGATCAAGCCACATAACTTGTCACCCACATTCAGTCCCATGTAGGATCCCCAGCTCTCAATCCAGAGTCCTTGAGCTCACACTAGCTCCAGTCAACTGTCTATGTGGTTTTCCCAACCATAATCTTGACCCCACCTTGCTCATACGATCCCTCTTCCCACTCTTCAATTAAGCTCCAGGAACTCAGCCCAGTGCTTGACTGTGGATCACTGCAACTGTTTCCTTCAGATACTGGACGTAGGTTCTGTGGTGACAATTAGGGTAGTCACTAACCTGATTGTGGGGGAAGGCCAGTTTAGGTACTCTCTCCACTATTGTTAGGCGTCTTAGCTGGGGTCATTCTTGTGGATTCCTGAAAATTTTCTGTAGAAGGAGCTGCGGGCAGGCCTGCTTTTCGTCCTGCCTGGCTCCCACATGGCTAGCTTTACACCCGAAATAACAACACATAAATTGTATTCATTTAAACACTGCCTGGCCCATCAGTTTTGGCCTCTTATTGGCTATTTCTCACATCTTGGTTAATCCATTTCTAATTATTTGTGTAGCACCACGAGGTGGTGGCTTACCGGGATTCAGCATGTCTGACCTGGTGGCTGGCTCCATTGCGTCTGACCAACTATGCTTTCTTTCTCCCAGCATTCTGTTCTGTATACTCCACCTATCTAAATCCTGCCCTATCAAAAAGCCAAGGCATTTTTTTTATTAACCAATGAGAGTAACGCATAGAAAGATAACCCTCCTCCATCAAATTTCCCTAGTACCTTGTTTCTCTCTAACCCCATAATGACTTCCTCTATCAAGATATATCTTTCATTGCTCCTGCTTTCCATCCCTCCTCCAACTCGGCCATCTTGAACCCTCATGTTCCCATCCCCCATCTCATCCCTTCTACTTCCCTTCCCAGTTTACCCAGGAGAGCATAACTATTTACCTTTCCTGGGACCCTCCATGTTTGTCCCTCTTAGGGTCTTCCTTGTTGCCTAGCTTCTCTGGAGTTGTGAATTGTAGCCTGTTTTTTTTTTTTTTTTATTTATTTATACAGTATCCTGCCTGTAGGCCAGAAGAGGGCACCAGGTGCCCTTATAGGTATATTTGGTTATTAAGCCTTTTATCGGTTATGTGGCTGAAATATTTTCTTCCATCCTGTTTTGTTTTTTAAATCCTCTTTGTAACATGAAACCCTAAAGCTTTTCATGGTTATGGCATTTATTTTCTCTTGTGTTTGGGTTCACAGTTGAAAAATCACTATCAAATCCAAGATCACCAGACATTGTTTCTGTTTCTTACCTGTACCCCCGATAATAAACCTTGAAGCCAGGTCCTCACACACACCAGGTAAGTACTTTGCCACTTCCCTTGAGCAAAGCCATCAACAGTCTTTGTCTCTCCTCCTCCCCATAAGAGTTTTAATAGCTTTGACTTAAATTGAAGTGTTTGAATACTTTGAGTTAATTTTCATGTGTGGCATGAGGGAAGGGTCCAACTTTATTTTTCTGCTAGTGAATCTCCAGTTGCCCCAGCATTATCTGTTCATGAGATCCTTCTTTCCCCATTGTATGACTTTAGCACCATTGGAAAGCAAAACAACTGAGTCTGAAGGTTTGATTTGTTTCCAGACTTTGCTGGTCTCTATTTATATAGAATCACAGCACTAAACCATCTTGATTCCTTTTTATGTTTGTACTGACTTGGAATTGGGAAGTGAAAATCTCCTAACTGCTTTATATCTATTCTTTTTGACATGTTTTCAAAAGTTTGTGATAAGAAACCTTAATATTAGATCAACTCTTATCAGCAAAAATTTAAAGAGTTCAACGTGGTAGGATTCCAGAATATAATCATTAGGATTAAACCAAAATATGCCACTCACTTTATTTTACTTAAATCTTTATTTATTTTGTTTCTATGAGGGCTGTATCTGCATGTACACCTTTATGCCAGAAGAAGGCATCAGATCCCACTATAGATGGTTGTGAGCCACCGTATGGTTTCTGGGAATTGAACTTGGGATCTCTGGAAGAGGCAGCCAGTATTCTCTCCAGCCCCTCCCTCACTTTTAATAGACGGTTTATGACCGTCAGTTTTTCAGTGTAGAGTCTGCTCTAGGTTCTCCTGCATGCTAGGCAAGTTTCTTCATCGAGCTGCATCCCAGTCTTTTGGTGTCTGTCACTCTAGAACATCAGTCATCTCCATCAATTGCCATCTAGTTCTACTTTCCTTAGAATCTGTGTTTCCTTTAAATTCTGAAGGACCTGATATATTTATTTCTACTGGTTTATCACCCTAGTGCAATACTGTGACAGTAACAATTTTACTTCCCACTTTGGTCCAGGTCACTTACTATCCAGTTGCACATGTATTTTGGACTTCTTCTGGCCCATGTTGGGTGAAGGCAGTGTTTTGAGGACCTGGGGCCTTCTGGGATGAGGATTTATTGTTATGGAGAGTTTCCTGGTGTAAAATCTTGGAAGAAGAGTGGAGGATGTAGGATCAGGCAGGGGCAGGCTCCAACTGTGATGTAAACTCAGCCCAGCACCCTCAGGTGACCTTATCAGTAGCTGTGAAGCTACAATGGTGACCTTGCTCTTGCTTTGGGCTAACATTTCTAGTACTTTCTGTAAGATCAGTTATTGGATATTGTTTGTCCGAGAAGGGCATGACATTGAGTCAAGAGTCCTCTGTAGTTGAGGTTGAAGGTGGTGAGAGCTAATGTGGTACCAGCCAGAGTGGCGGACATGATGTGTTCCTGGCTACTCTCTCAGTGCTACACGGCTCATAAATGTCAAAGCTGTCAGGGAGTTCTGACTCCTATGAGGGAATGCACCCTCTCACATGCTGTCTCATGTGACTGCCAGGGGAGCAGCATCAAAATCACCAGAACATTCCTTAGGCCTCAGTCTTGGCAGCTGTGACTGAGCTCTGTGGACGTCATGTGAAATTAATATTTTTGACAACCCTGAGATAGCTTAAGTTTCACATAGTAAGATCCAGGATTGGCTGAGGCAAAGCATTTCTGGCGAGGAGTCATCGCTACTTCACCAAGTTCTCTCAGCTTCTTATAAATCTGAAGGGACACTGAACTAGTCAGCCCGCTTCCCATTTTTCTCTGTTTCCAGGGTGGAGACTGAGCTTGGCGTCTTGCTGGCTCTCTTTGCTGCCTGAATATGTCAGTTTTGATCTAAAAATAATCTGAACCTCACTAGGGTCAGTGTAGGTTGATTAGGCTTCAACTTGGCAAAAACACTGAGGAGTTGTTGAGGAGGAAGAAACATTAAAGGGGAGGCTTTGGTGTAATATGGATGGCTCTGTCTGGGTTCTCAAATCAAGACAGTTGTTTTAGGAAGGCCAGGCAGACCTAGAAGAGATCATTAATTAGTCATTAAAAGAGCAAAAGGAACTGTCACAAAGCTCTTATTCATTCATAGGTTCACTTTCTGTGGCTGCAATAAAATACCTTGACAAATGCAATATAAGGTGAAAGGACTTATTTGGTTCACAATTCTAGGTTATAGTCTTTGGGGAGATAAAGGCAGCAGGAGCTGGAAGGAGCTAGTCAAATACACAGTCAAGAGAAGATGAATATACATTCTGTTCAACTCATCGTATCCTTCAGCCCAGGGAATGGTGCTGCCCACAGTGGAAGTTCTTTCTATCTCAATGATATTCCTTCACAGACATGCCCACAGGCTAACCTGGTCCAGATAGCCCCTCACTGAAGCCTTTCTTCCCCGGTGATTCTCAAGTGTGTCAAGTTGGCAATGAAAACCACAAACCACCATGACTTTATAGGGAAAGGGGAGCCAAATGGATGGAAGTAAAGCTTAGATCATGACCAGCGCTCAGGCTCTGACCAGGCTGTTTATAGGCATAAATGTCTCGGTCTCTTTTGATTTTACTGTTTCTGTCTTTAAAATGGCTCTGGGTTAGGGAAATGGCTCAGTAATTAAGAGCACTGGCTGATTTTATAGAGGGCCTGGGTTCAGCTCCTAACATCCACATGGAGGCTTTCAGACCCTTTGAACTCCAGTCCCAGGGGATTCAGTGCCCTCTTCTGAAGTCCTTAGGCAGCAGGCATGTACATGGTGTGCATACATTCATGCAGACAGAACACTCATAAACATAAAATAAAAATAAATTAAAACATTTTAAAATGATTCTGACCTGCATTGTCTTGTTCTTGTTCTTCTTGTTCTTGTTCTTCTTGTTCTTCTTCCTCCTCCTCTTCCTTCTTTTTTTTGTTGCAGGAAACAAATAAAATAACAGAAAAATGATTTCCATTAGAAATAACTTTTTTTGGACTCTCCCTACATTATTCCAGGGCTTTGGGAAATTCTTAGAACTCTGGGTTATACATGAAATGAACACTAAAGTTTGGAAGAATAGAGGTTCTAGTTATCTTGCTAAGAATGAGTGTTGGACTAAAATCAGTTTAGATATTTTCTTTGAGACTCTCACAAGTCTTGGCTTGCCCCTTTGAAGAACTTCTTGAAATTGAGAATTTAGTGATTGTTCACAGGCAGCTTTGGTCTGTGTGGCCCCGTTTCAGCTAGCAGGTAAAACAAGTCAATGACTTGGGAAATGCATCAGGATGACTATGGGCTGCTAGATGGTACAAAGTGACATGGGTTCAACAAAAATGTGTTGTTGGTGTATAGGTTTGTTAAGGTTGGAGAACAAACTCAAATGACATTTTGAAATGACAGTTCTTCACAAATTCTGCAAAGAGACACGTGCGTGAGAAGATAACAATATTCCACAAGAGGCAATGGAGAAGAAACTCACTCCACTGTGTCACTCCTGTCAAAAAGGTCACCATTCTAAGTTTACTTTTCTCACTTTCCCTGATGAGCTGTTGCCTGCAGACTAAGCTCCAAACCCTCTAGTCTGGAAAATATTAGAATCTAGAGTAGGGATCTTGACGGCCATTTTACTCCTGTGACTATAACCCTGAGGGTAATCTTGAGCACATTGGAAGTGCCAATGAACATGTACCCATGAATTAATAAAATACACGAATGATTTCTCTTTTCCATATCCCTCTAGTCACCACTATTAACTGTCTCTCCTAGTTGTACCTACCCACCTGGGTAGCTTGCTTACTGTTGAGTAGCAATTTCCCTCTAACTGAAACACTTCATCCTGGGGGAAGCTCCTTCAGCGTGGAAAATTCTGAAGGGAGGTTCATTAGGACTCAGGAGATAAATAGCTAGCAAGTTTTAAGAAGCTCCTCAAACTTACCAGATACAAAGGCTGGCCTCTCTTCAAGGCTGTATAAATGAGTACTACTGCAGAGTAGAGGAGACTTCCTGACCTGTTGAGCTGCTTGCAAGTTGTGTAGAGAGCTCCAGGATTCTAACTTTTGAGCTGTCACACATTCTGGGTTAGGTTATAGGCAATGCAGTTGTGTTTGAGGCCTTACTCCTGTAACTAACCCCAAATAACCTCATTGATTTATAAAGTTGGGCTTTGATGGTGTCCTTAGTTTGTTCTGTTGTCAGTTTCCTGTTTGGGTTGAGTGTTGACAGAGATTTCTGTCCTGCCCGGTCCCTCAGCCATTCAGCCCAAAGAAACACACAGAGGTCTACATTAATTATAAACTGGTTGGCCTATTAGCTCAGGCTTCTTAATAACTCTTACAGCCTACATTAACCCATAATTCTTGTCTGTGTTAGCCCCGTGGCTTGGTACCTTTTATCAGTGAGGCATTCTCATCTTGCTTCCTCTGTCTGGGTGAAGCCTGCAGACCGAGTCCTTTTCCCAGAATTATTCTTTTCTCATCATCACTCCTATATTTCATGTCTGGCTAGCCTATATTTGCTACTGGCCAATTAGTGTTTTATTAAAGCAATACAACTGACAAATCTTTACAGGGTACAAGATCATTGTCCCATAGCAGTTGAGTATACATTTGTTTTGTCTTCCCAGGAAGAGTATCATCCAACACTCACTGTTCTTGAAGTTAGTTTGATTTCTTTAACCCTTATCTTTCACATATTTTTTGACTTCTTAGATACCATATTTTATCACAAGTATGTCATTGATTCTTTACTATTCAGCTCAGTTATCCCTATTTTTGTGATGTCTTTGCTCGCCCTTACTGTCTGTTGTTCTCTCTATTCAACTCTGTTCTGTAATACGTGACACTTTACTGTATAATGATTGTTTCCAGGTCTGTCTCCCTTATAGATTTGTCTTGACTTTGCATACTAGCTCTTGGGCATCAGAAATATTTAGTCAAGGTAATGTGGGTGTTTCAGTCAGATTTCTCCAGTGGAACTGAACTGACAGAAGGAATATCTATATTTTGAAAGGGGATCTATAAGAGTAGTTTACAG